CGATTGATGAAATTGGATGCTGTTCATTCTATTTTGTCCTTGTTTCCATGTACGACCTTGTTTCCATGTACGACCTTCAGGAAAACCTGTTTCAACCCGGGACGTCACCTCAGCACAACGTTGTAAGGGTTTTAAACATTGGGTGAAGTCCTTATGAAATAACTTGGTTGTTTCCACTGTTAATTCACAATACTTCCATTGTATCAGTTCACAATGTCACTATGTTGTAGTGAGCTTTTAAAGTAAGTCAACTTTTACCACTCTTTCAGCAGTAGGTTCATTAAAAAAACTGAAAAACCCTGGTCTCTTTAGATGTGGAAAGCAAGAACAACTTATACCTCAACCACTCAACCATTTTTTAAACAAAAATAAGAATATCATAGATACAGTAGTCATGCGTAGGAAAGCATGTGCTTTCAAATGACAGATCCAGTTTGGATTTAAATCTTTCAATATGGTGCAGTTCAAAAAGGATAGAAAGCTTCCCAAATTTAAAGTGACCAGTGTTACGATTACACTGTTACACAACCAATTTGTTTTGTAGGTCTACACTTGTTGTAACACCTTAGCATTATATGCTTCATGTTAATCTTTAGCACACAAAGTTTGTGTTGCACACTGAAGTAGCCATTTGGCTACCAATTCTCTATTGGTTACGGGGTTAGGCAGTAAGGAGAAGGTTTTTCACTGTTTTGCTTTGTTGAACTTTCCATTTATGGTGATTTTGACACTGTTTGAATGGTTACCTCTATGTTGTATGGTTAACCACAGTGTTGTGTTTACTTAACAGTGTGGTCCTTCAGATGCTTCCTTCAACTCACCTGCAAGCAGCAGCTACAACAGCAGTTTTCACAGCCCACCTGACGTCAACAGGTTAGTGCAAATCCTGTGTTAATTCGGTGATAATACAGTAAGTTCATCTCTTTTTGCTGGACTTAATATGTGTCAGTGGGGGAAATGAGGTTTTCACTGTGTTTTAAGTTTGTGATTTGTACGGTATCTGTATCTGTTAAGCCGGTATAACCGCCCTTCAGCATAACACACCAGCTTTGCAGGCACGCGGCACAGCGGCAGCTAAAGCTATATAACACCGATGAAATAATCAAATAACAATTCATGTATTTGATAGTGGGAATTTTGAGAATGGATAGGACATGTATTTGCAGCAGAAAGATTTTGCAACTTGCGGTTAAAATGTCTGATAACTTGCAATACTACAAGTATTTTGAGCCTCGACTAGGGCTATATTTATACGAGTCATAGTATACAGCTTTGGTCATACATGTATTAATGTAGGCCAATTTAGCTTGATTCAATGCTATTCTCAGCTTCTATGTCCAGATTACCTTATGATATATATACATGTATATTATAAAATGTCTAGATAGAGATGGCTATGTGTATTTATACTTTATTCTGGTAAAAAAATTAAAAAACAACTTTTGACCCAGCTTTTGTATATTGTACCGGCTGAAACTGGTCTTGTCTGGTCTGGTCTAGGTCTAACAGCAACCCATCCCCTATCCCTAATGCATATTTAACATATTTGACCAAACATGTCAATCCTTTAATAGCAACAATCATGGATTGGTACAGTGTAGAGAATAGTATTGTAATGTTGTATACTGCTTCCAAGTAGTACAGTTGTGGATGGCAAGGTGGATAGGGTGTAAATGTTCTGGGATTGAATCCCTAGCAGGTCCCACTGATGTGTCCTTGGAAAAGTCACTTAACACTTTTCCTCAATCAACTCAGGTGAAAATGAGTACACTGTACCTGGCATTGTTTAGGGACATCCTCTCAGATTGGATTTAAAGCCTACACAGTTCAAACCTACACACTCAGGCTACAGTCCGGATGTACATAGCTTGTACTTACTGTACTCACTCACTAGTACAAAACTGGTTAATGTATTACCCCTAAATGCGGTTTACCGTTTTTGCAACAAAAAAAAATGTCTGAAAATCATATGAAGGCACAACATAGTACTGTACATTTGCTGCATGATAACTCTGCATATCATTGCATTAAAAACATCTCTCCTTGGACAAAACTGAACAAAAATTAACCTTCCACCTGCTTAGGAACAGCTGTTTGCACCAAATATGTATTGGATAATGAGTTCGGCAGCAGGGAGAGGGTTAATCTGTATTGACAACAAGGCCAACCTCCAAACCTCTGTAGGTACAATGTTAGAAATACCCATCCGCAGTCTGTATTTTGCAGAGACATTTTCATTATTGCAGAAGAAAAATTAAACAACCTGCAATTTTGCAAACTGAAAAAGTCAGGGTAGGGGTGCAATGGTGTGTAACAGCTTTCATTTACTACTGACATTCAAGGAATTTTGCATGTATTTTTCAAATTGCATGTAAAACATGCAATTTTGTATATGCCATAAGATTAGATCCGGACTGTGTATTTGCAGGAAGTATTTCAGAATTGCAGAACAAAATTTTGACGTTTTGCAATATTGCAGAACACTGAAAAAGGGATTTCTACTACTGAGGTTGAAAATGTTTTGACATAACCCAGGATAGACCAAGCTTTCAGCATACCCAGCTACAATGTACCAGCCTGCAGACAACATGTTTTCAAATAGTTGTTTTGTCAACATGTACATGAAACATGAACTTCTGACTCTTTGTGTTCATCGCACAATGTTTCAAATCAATATTATTCAGATTTCTGTACAGTTCATTAGAGGAATAAACTTTGAAAACACGAAAAAGACAATACTGATAAGTCTTCAATTGCCAGTCCCTAATAATACAAATTTATAAAGCTATATACTGTAATACGTGTTTGTATGATATACTATCATATAGCCTTAGAAGCTTCTAGACCATGCAATCCATATTGTTATTGTTAGCATGGCTGTTAGCCTTTTGAGTACATGCCGTCCTTGAAATCAGCCGGTAACAACAATCACGCAGGAGTTATGCAGGCATTCACTCAGAGCCAGTAACAGCCAGTCTAGGCAGGTTGTATCAGGAACGTACCATCTCGGCTGAGAGGGGTGTCGGGTTGCTGCCTTTACAGCATGTGCTACTGTGTGTGTCTTTTGTTATAATGTTTGATCAGGACTAGTAGATATCTGAGCCTTCATGTTGTGATGGTGGAAGGGAAGGGACAAAGCGACATTCAGAGGTGCAATGTTGTTATGTGCAGTTGTTGTACATGTATGTGATGTTATTACTGTACATGTATGTACTAATGTTGTTCTATAGGCATACTGCATGCATGTTTTGCATGTACAAAATGTACCTGTTTCTTTTTTCTAACAAAATATTACAGAAAAAATAGTGTTAGAAGAACCCTTAAACATGGCATGAATTTCTCTTTCACTGTATTGTATTGCACGTAACAAAAAATGTTCCAGGCCTTGAATAGGGCTATACTATGACTGAGTCATACTAGTACGACTCAGAATGTATAGTATATCACATATTTGTTATTATTAGGCTGACTACTACTTTAGTCAGCTTACTAGCAATGTTAATCTCACCATGGAGGGTAACAGAATGATCTGCCTGGAAATTTAGACTGTGCTAAAAGAAGAATCTGCCAATATACATGTAGCATATGAATATAATGTGATATGATATGATATGATATGATATGGTCAAGGTGTGGAATAGGGTACAATGTAGATGCTAGCATTTTGCATATTTTAAATACAAACAGCAGGCGGCATTTTTGAGAGTCAATCTTTGATATATATTTTACATCTTTCTCATTAACTGTTAACAGTATTATATGTTTCCCCATGTTTCCTGGGGTAACTATTATTATTAACTGTAAAAATATTTAAATGCCCTGCCCATTTCCTAGACTCTGGTCCTTAACCATCCCTAGAAGCCCTTTTGGTACGTCCCTACACTTTAAGCAGTACTCCTTAATAATGGTAACCTAGTTTGACATGCCAGCCAGCACGCACACAGGATATGCAAATGAAGTTGTCTGGCGGGAACCAGTTGAAACCCAAACAAACCAGCTGGGCATGTTTAAACCCCCATCTAAGTGCAGTGTCCTCAATACAGTACTGACTGCTTCCTTTACTGTCAGTGGCAACGTCTTGTAGAATCCTTTGTTAGAGAAGAAAAAGGCTGTGCCATGCTTTATACTAAACAGTGTGAGGAAACCAGTAGGAGATTAGGATTTACTCCTGACCCTGGGAATTGTGATCAGTGGTTATGTGATGTCGTCAAGCCTTTCAGCTACCTTCGCCTAGGAGAAAAGTATGTCCTGGTGTTTTCTTGGAAAATTTGTGTTTGCGTGTTGTTGTTTTTTTTTCTTTGATCCAGCAGTTGAATTTTTATGTGATGAGGAATTTCTGTCTGTATTTTATCTGTTGTTGATGGGGGTCTGCGTGGTACTATTGGTAGGGGTAGTACAAATTCTGGGCTTACGTAATGTGTTGTCCTTGGTTATGTCAAATTAAAAAAATTGTCCTTAGTTACATCAAATTTTAAAAACATCCCTTGAGCAAAGCTACATGTACCAGTAATTCTGTTTGAACACAACCGATTTCGCTTTGCATCAAATAGGCGGTGGTATACTAGTATTTGTGAACCATGACAATTGAAATGACTGGTGACGTCTCAGGGAAAACAAAGGCATTCAGACCCTTGTTGTAGACATGTCAGCTTCATGTAGTTTGATTAGCAGAGGTTTTTCATTCTTTGTGCCTTCTCTCTCAGTCTCTGTCATGAATAGGAAAATGATTCATGTGTAAATTGTGTTTCATCTAGTGACATTTCTATCTGAGCTGCACACATTTTCTCCATAATCAATTTAGCAAATCTGCATTAGGAATCATGCCATATTCTTGGCAGTCATAACATGTTACAGTAAATTCAGAAACATTCCTAAAATAATGAATTTGAACATTTTACATTGTAGAAGGCTGGTCACTGATTTGAAATTATACAAATTTGAGAAGGCGCACAGGTTACGCCTCATAAAAATAAGATACAGGCCCCTGCTGTTGTAGTGTGCCAGGTACATGTATTTTGTGTTAATATTTGACAGACTCAGCTGCAGGGAGTTTGAGCTCCAGCAGTTGGGGCTACTGTAACACCCACCACCCTGGATGGGAGGTAAAACCATGGTGCACTGTTCCTTGCCTGGCCTATTGTGCTTAAGCTAGGAGTTAGCCCTTTGCTCGTCTTGATATAATGGCTTGCGCGGTTCTCAATGTAGTTGCATTATGTAACAAGGATTTTTCATTGTTGGCAGACATCATACGCCCAGCCCCTTGTAGTTGTACATGTAGGTAAACATGTTCCACCTACGTTATATCTCCCATAAATTTCTGGCACTGCTCCTTATCAGTCACTCTTGCTATTTGGCGGTGTTCCCAGATTGTGCTCATGCAGTTTCTTTGTGCAAGCTGGGTACCGTTACTAAGTCAGGCGATCTTAATTTGTTGGTTCTCAGACATGTATGTAGAATTTTAAGAAGATGACATCATGAAAACAGAGGGCTTTCGAGGAATATTTGCATTCTGGTGACTGTGTTCACTCCTGAAATTGTGTGAACCGAGGTAGAGGCTGTTCCCTCAGACTCTGTTTCCATGTTTGGCATTGTTTCATTCTCTTTTTAAATATGAGAACCGCGAGATTGAATTGGTGTGGCCTTGTGCTTGCTAGCTTGTTTATCAAAGTTTATGTTGTATGTTGGCACTACCTCATCCTCTTTCCTCCAACAGTGGCCTACAAAACATTGTCTCCTTTGCCGTATTGTTTCAGTGATATATTCTTGTATAGCTCATGGTTTGAAATTCTTTGTCTCAATGAGATGTTTAAGTCATTTCTCAGCATTCTAGTGTATGAGCTGTTTAACCTTCTTTCTAGGGTTTTTGTAAGACTTATTGTCCAACACTCTGAACCATAGAGAAGGATTTATTTATTTATTTATTTATTTCATCATAAGACGGCTGGGTAGCCCCATTCGGCTTACATTAGCTGTTTTCCAAGGGGGCCCAGCAAAATTACACAAGACATTGTTACATAAAATAAGACAAGAGTGGACAACATACAGTAAACATCTATTGGTGCTGAAATGTGGAAATCAATCCGATATTAATTATTATGTCTATGTTTATATACAAAATGTAATTGCTTAGCCCTTGTGTGTTAGATATTATTTCAGCTATGGTATGACAATTTTTTTAATGATGATAAGCCATTAATTTTTTTTGGATATTAATAAACCACTCAATTTTGTGGTTCATTCTGTACAAGGACTCTTTGCTTGACTTCTTTCCATTTTACGAATTAAATACACTTTGTATACATACACACGTGTTTCCATTGTATTACTACTGTTGATTTAACCGCAAACTTTAAAGTTAAAAAAAAAAACACTGAAAACCTCATCTCCCCTATAAAATCGAATCCTTGCAAAGATATGTAATTTACAGTATGTTTATGTATAGAGATAGTCATCATATTACATGTATAAAGACACCCAATGCAGATTCAGGGCAGCAATACAGAATAAATATTCAATCAGATTTCTGGATGAAGAAATCTGTCTGATATTGACATTTACTGCTATTTCTCAGCACATTGTTCTCATCATTTCTTACTTGAAGTGTTTGAAATATCACAAAAACTAGCTATGTGAAGCATCTTTTTATTTTTTTGGGTACCAACCATGAATAGCTAGAACCAGCCCAGCATACAAAACAAGCATCCATTTTCCATCAGTGACATCAAATTTTTGCCTCACTCTACATGAAAAGAAGGAATAGAAAATTGACTTTGAAAATCCAGTTTTGTTACCCTGAAATTGCATTGGATGCATTTAAAGAATATCTGAGACAATCCAATTCAAAGTGGCCAGTCTCCCTTTCCCACATTATATGTGCAGGTCACAAGGCTCTGGCCAGCTCAACATCTTTTTCTGTCAGCCCAGGTTCACGATCAGACCTGGGGCAAGAGTGGTGGCAATCTAGGGGGTCTAGGAGCCAAATTTGTGTTTTCAAGCCTTTGAAAACACAATTTCCCCACATATTGAGAGGGACATCATGGGGTTGAACATGGTTGCTGGCAGACCTTTGGATGTTTTTATATTTTTACCCAAAAATTTGTCAATTTTGTCCATCAAGGTTGACAGCTTGGTTTAAAAATCTTTCTGTCACATGCCACAAAGTTCCTACAATTGATAGAAAAACGAGTGCTGGCTAGAGCCCTGCAAGGTTGTTTATTTTTTTTACATACATGTATGCTGTATTTTCTCCCTACAGAAGTCTGCAGAGTCCCACCACCTCTGCTGCTGCTGCCTCCAATGATGATGGGGGGGATAAAGCTGGGTCCGTGGAGGTGAGATACAGTCTTGTCAGTTTTATATTTATGTCATACCTGGGCCGCGATAACGTTCCATACGTGTGTTCCGGACCGGGCCGTACTTTAGGCTACTTTATTCGTACGTTGGAACTGAAGTTGTTGCGTTTTTGGGTTTAGGGACACAAAGTTTTGGCTCATTTTGCATTGAAAGACGCATTTTCTTGGGTGGGTATGACATATTTAAAATATATATATAAGTCATGGTGTATTCTGCATCGCCCTTGGTCCAGGCCCTCCCGCGAGTCAGAACGGCCTTAGGTGGTCGGGCCGATAGCTCAGACAATACGGAATACACCGTGTTGTATTCTCTATATATAAAACCTGCCAGTTCACAAGACACACACAGTCAGTGCCCCCACAAATATGCACCGTCACTGGCAGGCAGCTGAGAAACTGTAATGCATTTACTGTCCCCAAGGCCAGAAGGGAATGGCTAACTGTCATTCTTACATTCTGCTATCAGAATGAGATTCCACAACAAATCAATTTTTTTGTGACTCTAGCAGCCCTGGGGCTTGATATCTTGTTTTATATTGTATTTTTGTGCATTGCATTATATTGTATTTTGCAGTCTTTATCATAGTTTATTGTACATAACTATGTGAGAAAATATTGTTATGACAAACATAATTCAGGGAAGGCACATCTGTGTCCTTTCCTGCCAGTGTGTGTTTTAATTTTGTGAGAAATAATAAAAGTTTTATCCAATTTTCTGATGTTAAGAAAGATTACTGGACATCATTAGTTTCAACAAGCTAATAGCATTTTTTTTTGTTTGTTATATTTTCACAGCCTCTTGCTCCAGGCGCCAACATTCAAGAAACACAGAGCTGGCTGGTACACAACAGATTTGGCAACTACGTCAGAACATTTAATAACTTTGCAGGTTGGTTCACACATTTGGGAATCTTAATCAACCTCACATACAAATCATTCTACGCAAGGGCAATATGTACTGGAAAGATATACAAGTGAGATCTTCGTGAACCTGTGTCATTTCTCTGTACACTTGAAGAAGTCCACTGGACGAAACCTGTCTGACAGGCTAAATAAAATTTCTAACCAGAAAGGCTCAAGGTGCCTTACTGAGGGACATCTGCGGTGTGATATGAATGGAATGAATCCACTCTACTACATGTATGTACATTCTAGACAATGTTTTTTTCACCCCAAGATCTTGGGGCAAAGGAGGAAAAAATTGATATAATCAGTGGAGTGTACTTTGTACTTCTTTGTTCTTTAGATTATACATGTATACTTGTACTTGAGCAAGGTATATATAAATAAATGCAGGGAAAACACACTACCATTGCATTGGTCATAATAAAAATAAATAAAAAATCTTTCTTTTTTCTTCAGGAGCTGACTTACTGAGATTGACCAGAGAAGACTTGGTACAGATCTGTGGCCCAGCTGACGGCATCAGACTTTTCAACGCCCTTCAAGCCAGGTAACCATGACAACGGGTACCTCTGTAACCATGACAACCAAAGGAATATACTCTGAAGTCTCTGAATTACTTGTTCGCAGTATTGATAAATTTGCAAAGTACAGAAGTGACAGTGAAAACCGTGAATATAGAAGTTCTGTGAATATAAAGTGATTCACAGTACTTGTCATAGGTATTACATGTAGGTACTGCTATTGAACTATGGCTTCCTGGGCATAACAAAATACAGGCATTGTATTTTCTTTGACTTTGCTATACGTTTTTCTCATGTCTGGTGTTCTCCCATCCTTTCAGAGCGATCAGACCAAGGTTGACCATGTATGTCTGTCTAGAATCGCAACATGGTGAGTACATACAAGAATTACATAAGATTTGTATCATGCCCTAATTCAGCCAGATAAGGCTGCAACGGTATGTCTGAGCACGTGTTGCAAATAAACCAGTCATCATCATCATCACTCAGCTTTACATTACACATGTACATGTATTATGGCAGGACACAGTTTTCGCCCTATGGGGATTTCCATAGTTCAAACCCTGGCCTGAAAAGGCTATGTGACTACTTTACCTTTACCTTTCACTTGTCAAAATATGTATATAAATAATACATACTTCAAGATCTGACTACCAACTTCATAATTGATTTGCTTTGATTTGATTTATTGAAATTGCAACAGTACATGAGGAACAGAGGCAGCTGTTGCTGGTGTTGTGTCCTGCACGTAGAAATGAATACTGGACAGACAATACTCATTTTCACTTGAGTCTAGTGGGGAAAGTCGTGTAAATCGCCTTTCCCAAGGGCACAAGATCGGTGGTATGTCAGGACTTGA